ATATATATATATATATATATATATATATATATATATATATATATATATATTGACGTGGGACCGTGTCTCATAGCTTGGCACTAGCAGGTTGCCTTCGGAAAGCACATGCAGTCATGAATAATTAAGAAGCCATCTCTTCTCATAGGATAAGAAAACTCTGCTATGAATAATAATCGGAAATTGACGCGTCATCTTTGCACTTGCAGTTCTGTGCTACGTCGCCCATTTCATCTTGCCCCAAAAATCATTTTAAACCTTGAAGCTGAAATTAGCTGACAAAAGCTCAAAATTATCCAGTTTTTCCCACAATTAAAGCTAACAGGTGCTATCATTGTCTTAACTGATGCTCAACACACACAAATCTGTTAAAATCTCAAAAAAAAAAAAAAAAGTACTCAAGGGTTTCGTAACCCTTTAACAAAACGAAGAATTCAAAGTAATATAGAACATAACAAGAGTTACTAAATCATGAAAGAACTTTGAGCATTGTTTTAGATTGAACTGATGCTGGTAGCACTATTTTAAGTTTATAAATATATCTAAATGATCTGTTGTATTGACAGGGCAGTCTACTGAACATACATTGATTCTGTCAGTCATGTATGCATTCACACAAGGTTGAATATGGTGCTTACAGGCTCTGCTCTGTAGCTCTGGGGGCTTTTGCCTGAGGCTTTGGAGATCTCAAATCTTTAGCTACCTTTATTATTTGTTTCCTATAAGTTATAATCAAATCCTTCTATTTATTTTCACACTGTATTTGATCCTATAAATGTTAGATGAAATCTGTTGATCTTGTGACATATATAGTTAGTACATAAATAATTGTAACTAAATACTAAATTGCGATTTTGTTTTAATGCAAATCTAATAATAAAGCAACAATGTTTTAGCAACAGTTGAGTTTTTTTATGTTCATCCTTTTAATAGGATGGTGACAAAACAGAAACACTAATTTATTACTTTTATTATGGATTAACAAAATTGATAAGCAAAATAGCACTTTTGCTATAGACCAACTAACCGTTTGTTTTGACTTTTATTGGGAGTTTCAATTTGACAGTGTTGCTACTGTACATTATTATACTATAAAAAGTAATGTATTAATATACTACTACTACTACTAATAATAATAATAGTAATAATAAACAATAAAATATTATGATTATTATTATTATTATTATTATTAATAATAATAATAATAATAATAATAATAATAATAATAATAATAATAATAATAATAATAATAATAATAATAAAGCATTACTTTGTAAAAAAAAAAAAAAAAAAAAAAAAAACATCTTGATTTCTCCACAAGGGGTGGGATTTATTTTAAGGAAAGCATTGGTAGCACTCCAAGAAATTTAACCTGACAGTATTTTGGCGACTTTGTGAGGATGTGAAATGAAAAAGCACTGATTTGCATGCCAGCCTCGCCTCGCTCATCACGTTCAGCACCCAAATACAGGCAGAAAGGCAGAAGCTTAGCGCGTGGTGGTTGTGCACTGCATGCACACTTTGTTTGCTTTGAAATGCAGGATCAAACAGGGCCATGCCGCAAAAGGTTAGCCTGTTAGAGGACAAATATACAGTATCTGTATCTCTCTCAGTCTCTCTTGCTCCCTCTCCTACACACACACTCGCGGCTCACGTTTCCGCGCTCGCTTTCCAACGTGCTGCTTTGACGCCCAGATGTCTCTCCTGTGCCCGGCTCCTTACACACAGTTACACGCTGCATACTAATAAACTTCAGCCTGAACGGGATGAACGAGACATACAAATGTCGTTTCATCTCAGTCGCACGCTGATCCTGCCTCACGCAACATGTTGCGCATGTTTTTTCTTCCTCAGTCTTTGCGCATTTAAGGAAAATTACGCATAGCTAAAACGATGCTGTTATTGAACGCCACCGCGTCTTTAAACGTCCACACTGCGTCGTTTATTTCGCTCGAGTATTGTGATGAACGGATTGCGGTTTGACGGGATGCTGAAGGTGAATGGAGCGAGAGGAAGGACAAGGCGGGCGACCGGCTTCTAAACGTGTACTGGAAGATGTGCGTTTATTATGAGTGATCTCTCACATTGACACGTCCAGTGAGTGCGCGCGTGTGTAAGAGTGAGTGAGTGAGTGAGTGCGGGCGCGCGGCCGGGCGCGCGCACGCGTGTGTATCCATCGCCCGTAGTCTGTAGATCTGTGTTACTGCGCCAGGATGGAGATGACGCAAATGACCCAGCTCCCCAAAAAGAGTTTCAAGACGAACATGGCGGCAACTTAACACAGGACCCAAGATGATGATGATGATGATGATGATGATGAACAGCAGAGAAGATCGAAGGCAATCCGCCCAGATAGGGAAAGAGCAGCTCGTTCAGCGTCTCGCCTTCCCTTGAGGAGATACGGGGACACAGGCAGGAGCTTCGGGAACAGAGGAGGCATGTTGTCACACAGAAGCGCTTTTTCTCCGGGGAGCCATGCGGAATAACGGAGATATGACCGCGAGCGGCTTCATCTAGCCCAGAGAGTCGGATACAGCTGACGAGAGCGCTGTTGAACGGAGGAAAACATTTCAAATCAATGCATTTTGTGGCAGGTCGAGGAGCCGTCGCGGTGGAGTCGGCCAGTGCTGCTCTTTCCTGAAATATGACCAGGGGTGCTTGGACGTGTCGGCAGCAAGATGACGGCTTAAAAATCTGCTTCGCACCCCGAGAGGACGAAAAGCCATTATTCACCGATTCGGAACGGGCCCAGAGATGGCGACTGTCCTTAGCCTCTCTTTTGTTTATCACCGTTTTGCTCTCTGATCATCTGTGGTTCTGCGCCGAGGCGAAACTGACGAGGACGCGAGACAAACGGCTGGACCACACCAACCATATACTTTCATCCAGCCATCAGACAGAGCAGAGTCTTATTTTTATAGGCAATTCTACCAAACCTCTGTGGAGACTTGAAACTTGTCATCCTGACAGCCTCTCCAAAAACTGCTTGACTTTCGCCGAGGCGGAAGCCGTGTGCTCGGGCCTCTCCGAGTGGAACCTGAGCGATTTCTATCTTTCTTTTTGTAATTCCTACTCTCTTTTGGATTTGTTTTACGGGTTTACGAGTCCGGACAATTTGACCTGTAGCCTGGACATGGCTGATGCGTCGGGATGCAGCCAGTGCGTTCAGGCTTACCAACGCTACGACCGACGAGCTCAGGAGAAATACCGAGAGTTTGAGCTTTTGGTTCAGAAATATGAAACGGATGTATATTCGGTGCGGACATGTATGGAAGAGTGCACGGTAGGCGAATGCTGCTTTTCTCTTTTGGTGTTGCTTTGTTTGCTGACGGCTTCTAAAAGAAGCGCATTGTGTGCGTACATTGCTTTCACGTTATCAAACGCTACATGTGTACGGTTCGCTGTTTTGTCATCTGCGCGCGAGAACGCGCGCGGATACAAGGTGCGCGCGCACTTGTGGATTAACGAGAGGTGGGTTTGTTTGACACCTTGAATGCATAAGTTTGGGTTAGAAGTAGGGTAGCTTTTGGAAGCTAATTATACGGTAATTTCTCACTCAGTTGTATGTGATGCAAATACACTGAAGGATAAGCAGGGCGAGCAGAACATAACCTAAACGAAAGCTATAATTTTAGGAAAAAAAGGTATGGTTCATCTAAAGTACCTCTTGACTAGTGACGTGATTTGATCATTTTCATTTTAGTATACGCAAAAGTCCTAAACCCCGAACTTGGCAGTTATTATATGTCCATGTGAAATACGACAGTAACAGCACATAGGCTGTTATGTAATGACAATGTCAATACACATTACCATAATGAATACCATATGGTATTTGCATGGTACTCCTGGGTATTTAAAACAAATCATGATGCAGCTCATGGCTGTTTTGGGTTCCTTGCTATTTTCATGCAAAATATACAATTTTTACCTTTTCATAAAGGTTAACCTATAATTGGTTAATGCAATAAACAAAAGAGCATCGCTCAGAAAAGTAGTTAAAGTATTAAGCTGGTGGTTCCACTCTATGTATTTTTGGGCTGATTTGTGCTTACTTCATCTAGCCAGGCAAGCCTAAAACCAGATAAGATGTAGGATGATACAGATGTGTTTTTTTTGTTTTGTTTTTTTACTACCTTTCGTAGTAGGGAATTATTTCAGTGTGGAAGGACAAATCTGAGGGCATGTCCTCTCATTTGGAGCCATCTGAGATTTATGGTTGTAGGTGTCCTACGATCTGCAGAGAGATAGAACAACACAAAGACTGTGTGGAGTGTGTGAGAGAGCGAGAGGGAGATGGCGCAGTGCTTTATGGAATTTCAATAACGTTAATAGTGCAGCAGTGATTTTTTATTTATTTTTTCTCTGTGTAATCCCCGGAAGTCTATTCTCTTCCAGTCATTGTTCAGGCATTTTTCCTTCAGTCATGGCGTTGAATAACAGTGTTGTTACACATGCATGAAATAGGACTGTTGCTCTTTGCCTCTAGCTTAATAGAGCAGCTGCAGCTGCCGCAGCAGAGGAGAGCATGTGAAGCATGTCATTCGCAAACGATTAGCTCTATCAGGTTTGTATTTCCTGTGCTGTGGGATGAGAAAACAAGGGCAAAATGTCCTGCCAAACTGACAGCAGGACACTTTGTAAAGTACACTGCACATTACACTTTCAGTGAGTGTGCAGCAGATTGTTGCATTTCTTCCTTGCTTTTTTCCATCTATTGTCTCTCTCTCTCTCTCTCTCTCTCTCTCTCTCTCTCTCTCTCTCTCTCTCTCTCTCTCTCATGTTTAATTTATATATATATATATATTTTTATTATTATTTCTATTCAGTTTTGCTCAGGTTTGCAGGCGAGAGTAGTTTGGTCTCTGTCCATGGTGCTGAAACAAGTACACACTGCTCTTTGCTGAATAATAAATATAAACTCACATTTAATTCACATAAGCAAGCTCATTTTCTCGTTATCAACAGTCTAAAACAAATTTATGATTTTTTTAAAATTTAGTTCTAGGTATCACAAGGTTGTATAATAAATCCATAATAATAATAATTCCTTATATTTATATAGCACTTTTCTTGACACTCAAAGTGCTTCACACATTTTTGGGCATAATCTCCTCATCCACCACCAGTTACAGAAATAGAACAGATATAATTGATATTGTGCATAACAAAAATGAATAATTAATTAATTAATTAATTAATAATTAATTAATTAATTCATTTGTGCTCAGGTTATTTTGGTGAATAAAAGCAACAACTTTACAATATTTGAAGTAACATTAGTCTCATAAATGTTTGTAAAATATTCAGCATTTTTGCTTTATTTGATTTTCATCGGTACACATAAGACACTTATTTACAAACAATTATAGAACGATTGTTTGTATTAACTGTGATGTTATTTAATTAATTTAGTTTAAAA